CCAGCCTCAACCCAGGCCTCAATTTAGTGCACCCGAGGCACATAGAGGGGAGCTGTGAAGGGCCCGATCCTCATTGCTGGTGGTGGTGCACACATGCCTCTGGGCAGATGACAAGGGAGTGGCCAGGGTTGCACTGCCCCAGCCCCTTGCCCACTGTGCATGTACAGCCACTTCCACCACAGAGCCAATGCTGGAGCTCCAGACTTGGTGTAGTTGTTTGCAGCCTGCCTGCTGCTTGCTGCAGCTGCCCAGAGCCTGAGCCAGTTGTGGCAGCCTGCCGGGAGACTGGAGACAGCTGTGCCAGGTTCCATAGTGGCGCTGGCTGCATGCATGCCTCAGGGCGCATGGCTGGGAAGGGGCCTGGGGCAATGCAACCCTGGCCTTTCCCCTGCTGTCCACGCCAAGGCATGTGTGCAGCCACTGCTACCATGGACTCCTGCTGAAACCTGGTGCAGCTGTTTACACCATCCTGGCTGCCTGCTACAGCTAACTTGGGCTCTGGGCAGCTGCAGCAGGTGGAGGGCAGGCTGCAAATAGCTGCACTGCGGTCCAGAATCCCGGTACTGGCAGGACTGCATGAGTGCCACAGGGTGCACTGTGTGCAAGGCACTACAGTTGCGCTGCCCTGGGCCCCTTTCCATCTGTGTGCCCTGTGGCATGCATGCCACTGCCATGGAGCCCAGTCAGGGCTCTTGAGCTGTGAGCAGCTCAGGCTCCATGGCTGCCCAGAGCCCGAGCTGGCTGTTAGGTGCTGAGTGAAATGGCTTTGCAGGCTTTACGCAGGTGTGCGTGCCGGGGCCCTGTTGTAAATGCTCCAGAAACTGAACTTCCATTAATGGCAGGGTCTTGTCATGTTGTAATTTTGGGTGGCTCCTGGAGCACTTAACATCAAGACTGTTCACCCACTAGCACCTGGAACTAGTTTTAAGCACTCATTATGTGGCTCAAAGTCACACCACTCCAGAGTAGCGTTCTCTCTGATGCTTGTTACCCAGCCATGGGCAACTGGTGCCTCCCGAGTCTGGAGGGGGGGGGCGCCAGATTGCCAACAGGGGTGGGGGAGTCCTCCAGCTGCTGACTGCCAACCGGGGGAGCAGCTGATTGCCAACTGGGGGGAGCCAGCAGCAAAACCGGAAGTGCACTTCTGCCGGCACCTGCGGTTTTGTGGCTGGCGCTTCCAGGGGGGGTACGGCTGATCTCAGGGCGTGCACATGCACCCAGTACACATTGCCAACCCACCACAACTTACGCTAAGGTGTAATGCATCTCCACTCTATGCTACACCTTAGCACGAACACCTCACCTGCCCCTTCCCTCCCCACTGGCCTGGATCTCAAGGTCAATGACCCCCAGCAGTCCAATTTCCCATTCACAGCTCCTCCATCCCTTCTGCCACTTACTTGTGGCTGCCCATACCGTCTGTCCCAGAGGAGCAGGCAGGGAGGGTTAACCTGCCTGCCCAGCCCCCACTGCTGCTGCTGTCTGGACCAGGCTCACCCTGGAGAAGAGCAGCAGCCAAACAGCAACAAGGAGCAGCCTGGGGTGGGGGTGGGGAGCCCAGAATGGAAAGCTGGGGATTCTTACTTCTCAGTCCTCCAGGCCGCTGCTGGCTTGAACGTGCAACTGCTCCAAAGCTAGCACTAACACTTATCAACACTTGTGGGAGAGTATCAGCTGCTAGGTGAATAACTATTCACCAAAGCACCCCAGGGGAAAACGAGGAGCAAAGGTCATAAACTCCTAAAAGAAGGTTTCAGACTGAATACAAGGAAAAACTTTTTCACAGTTCATGTTACTAGACTTGGAATTGACTCCCAGCACGGGTGGTGCAGGCACCTATCCTGGAGATCTTCAAAAGGAGACTGGACGCACACCTTGCTGGGGTTGTTTGACCCCAGCAGTCTTTCCTGCCCAGAGCAGGGGGGCTAGATCTGATGAACTCATAAGGTCCCTTCCAGCCCTGAACTTCTGTGAAACTGTGCGCTGCTCACAGGGTAATGTGTAACAAGACCTTCAGGGAGAGTTTCACATGCAGAGCACTTTAATGATCAGGCCTGTAGTTTGCACTCTATTTACTGAATAAACTGGTTGTTTATATGTGTGTATGGCCTTATAATTTAGTATGCTCAGAAGAAACATCTACAGCAATTAATTACTTAAGGTTAGACTATAATATCCCTATTTATGAGGATCAATATGGGACCACTCACATAGCTGTACTCATTGATGTGTGTCAAGGGATCAGATTCTAGTCCTTAATCCAACTCTGGAATAGAGTGAGGTGTTCTGGTACAACTAAGCATGGATTCTATTTCCCACTGAGGAGCCACGGAAAGGCATTGGCTCTCAGACAACCCCTTGGCCTCCAGCTTGCTACCACCTTTTGAGGGACAGCACAATCCCCACCCATTCAATTTAGCTGGCTCGTATGCTGGGGGATGGGACAAGGCTCTAACTAATGTCCAGCCTTTCCCTATTTCCAAACAGTGAGATACAAATACAGGAAAGGCACTGCTGTGCTGCAAAGCATGTACTTGTACTCCTGCCAGGCTTGGAACTGTAACCCACTATACAGGAAACTTCAAAAAGAAGTAGACAAGCACAGTAAGAGCAATCAAAGACACTCAGAGCTGGCCTAACTCTACTCCCATTCACACAGTGGGAATAAATTCCTTGGCCTAAATCAGCAACTGGTGTAAACTCTCTAGCTCCACTGACTCCAATTAAGCGATAACAAATTATAAAATTGAGGATCTGTTCCTACAAAAACTTAAATGGAAGTGGGATCAAGCCAATGCCAAATACTTTTGTATTTACCACAGCATCTTTTAAAAGACTGTTTTGAGCACTATCAATTCTACATGTTAAGTATCATCCTATTAATACATTAAATTTGATTTTATATGTTTTTCTTGCTGCTCATTTACAATGACTGAAATTGAAAACAATTCATTGAAATCTTCTCAGTGACCTTTAGTCTTTAGTATGCAGGATCAAAAAGTAGTAGAAAAATACATGATAAAGTCTGTTATACTATATGCTTTATTATACAAAAACTTTAAATTAAGTTAAGCAAAATATCTAAGGGATTGAAAAAAAATGACATTTTGATACTTATTTATCGGAATAGAAAAGCCAAGGTAAAACCATCAATAGTATTAATTCTACTAATAATTTGACCTTGGTTCAAGACATTCAAGCAAGCCAGAACCAAAGTATATGTGGTTTACCTATCTCCTCCCTTTTAGAAGGGCTTCCTCTCTGGAGCAAATCAATTTAGGGCAAATTATAATTAAAACTCAAGCAGAAATGCCCTACTCAGCACTGGGTGAGTCCACTGATGGACATTTACAGCTGGATTAAAGTCACCACTGCCAAACAGTTTGCTCAAGAGTCCTGATGTAAAGAAGCCAACACAAGGAAAGATGGATGGATGCTGAAAAGATGAAAGATGAAGAGTCCAACATATGCATGGTCAGGGACAACATGAGCATGAAATACAGCAAGAAGAATATGTTTGTGCATTTACAGATTTAGGATTCATTGCTGGTGTTCTTCTTTCCTTAACACCACATAAGGTGAGTAGAGGACTTTTCAGCACCACACTTACAATATTTTGGCAAATATGTTATTCATGAGCTGGCAATTGTCACTAAAACTAGTTTGAAAGTAAAAGTGAAATAAAATAAAGACACACTGCCCAAGGCATGCACCATTTCTTAATAATTCCTGTGCCTAATTATTTAGGTGATTTGTATTTTTTTTTTTTTTTTTTTTTTTAAAAAAAAAAAAAAAAACCCATGCCCAAGGCATGCACCATTTTTTAATAATTCCTTTGCCTAATTTTTTAGGGGATTTTTTCTTTTTTTTTTTTTTTTTTTTTTTTTTAAATAAAAGGCCATTATAATAACTCACTGCTTGTACGATTTCCTACTTGGGGTGTATATTATATACTGTCCATATTTCATTAAACAAAATTGCAAAGCATTCAATAAATTCATTTATACTAATTGTACAGTGTATTATGCAATCCAGGCTCTTAAACTCTGAACAGCCATGTATTTGTGGATTATTTTACATTAAATAACACAGCATTCAGAGATAGGGAGGTTAATGCCTCTCTGAATAGCACTACCCTATATCATATGAACAGAATGAAATGCCTTAACATTTACTCTGTGAACAATATCCAGCATTGTTTGTTCTTCCTTCTTTCAAGGATTCTAAGGAGACTTGCTCCCTAAGAGAGAACAAAGAGACAAACCCATCCTATTGGATGTAAAGTTTCTTAAATATAATTTTCTTCTAATGTTGTGTGATTTTTATTTTTACATTAACTGATCAGCATTTTGTTATATTAATTTATAAAACAAGGCCTATCTTTAAAAAATAAGAAGTGGGTGGACCATATCTACTCTTACCTGTACTCTGAGTGTGTGGCAGGGACAGTTAGCTGGGTATGGTACAATGGAGCTGGACAGCAAAACTGGTGCAGAGTATTTATAGACCTACGACACAAGGAAAAACACAAAGTCAAAACACCAAGTGTTTAGAAAGGGGCTTTTTAGGGAAAGGTAGAGATTACTAAGTATATGTGAAACTTGTCATAAGTTTGAAATAAATTTGTAATAGTACAACTATCAACTCTGATTCCCAGAAAATCAAGGGGAATAGTCCCATGCTTTAGAGATATAAATCAAGAATGAGGCTGATGAACTACTCCAATGAAGATAGAGAATTTAGTCGCAAAAAATTAAATAAAATAAAGATGCCAATTTCTGACTTTGTCTTTGCCTTGTCACATGGTACAATAGAAGCAAAGTTAATAAAAGTTAAGGGTTTAAATTCCTGCAGAATAAAGTGAAAATTTTGCAAGTTACTCTGCACCAGTCATGTTGTTTCTACTGCTAATTGCACTACATATAGTGCTTACAAGCAAGAGGAGGAAAATGGGATGTATGTGCAAATAACCTCTCTCTATCTCTAGGCCCAGCCATTATAAACAAGCTATCATTCTGCTTTGGTAAGTCTAACAGTCTTGTAATTTACTGCACATAGGTGACACCTGACTTTATTTAGGGTAGAAACTAAAAGAAAGAGGTAGAAAAAATTCTTACAATTCAACAGAAAATGGATGCTGCATTTCAGATGTTTTTACTGCTCAGACTATCCATAACTAATACCACATAAAATCCCAGCAAAAAGAGAGATGGAGGACAACACAAGATGCTACAGCCAAAGAAACAATTTATAATGATGCAAGGCAGAGCATTGCTATATTTTTTTATATCAAGATAGCATTAAACAGTTTAAAACTACCAAAAAAAAATAATGAAAAGCCAAACCAGTCTTTCATAACTCTTGCCGCATCTACATTGATGATGTGCCTGCTAAAATCATATTCTTCACCAATTTTTAAACATAAAAATTATCCATTACTAGTTAAAATATAGATCATTCTGGTCGTAATTTATTTTGCTCACAGTGTTCTTCTGAGCATTTCAAAAGGATTTTTTTAAAGCTCCCTGTGTTTAAAGAGAGTCCTGTGAGGTCATCCTCTTATAAGATCAAAAGCAGCTGTTAAGCACAAAAAATGCCAGTCTTTCTTCAGATAGGAGTCAGGTACTAATCCGTTAAAAATGAAGGTCAGCTTGCTCTGATTCCTGTTGCCAATAGTCGTATCAGCAATTGCAAGGCCAAGATGAGTGAGTTTTTCTGTTTAAAGGCAACAATTGATGGTCACTCTTAAAAGTACTCAACCCCTTGGGCAACTGAGAGAAACATCTATCAAAACAACCACAATGTGCATGCAACTGAAGAACAACAAAAAATTGCTGGAGGATGCTTCACAATGGCAACTGAAATGCTAATTTGAACCTTCAAACAACTGATAGAAGGAAGGACTAAGAGGATGGAGACTATTCCCAGGAAAAGTATTAAACATAGCAAAAAGAAAGGAAAAAATACTTTAAACTTCAACAAGTAAAATAAACAGGGTTACTACAGGAAACATTTTCCATGCTTCTTCACATTACTGAGGTGGGCTAACTGGCTGCAAGGGAAAAGATAACAACGAAGTTGGAGGACTGATCCTGTGTTGAGGAAATCACCATATTCTTACCATCTAGAAGTAAAGGTGAAACCTCAGCATGAGGCAGTTGTTTAACTCCATGTCTTTTCAGACTCATCCATTCTCAGCCCAACCAATATTTTTACTTTTGAGAGTAAGGGATAGGCACATAAGGGACTTTGCTTGGACTTGGCTCTTCTCAGCTCAGTGGATTTAGCATAGTGCTTACTCTGATCTGTGCCTCAAATAGCTTCTCCTGGGACTTCTACTAAGAAGCAACATACTTCTTGGGCTGTCTCACCTCTGTTTTTCCCAACTGTACAGACCATTTTCCTTTTCTTTCCAGTCTCCCCATCTGCAAGTAGGATTTATAATAATACTTACCTATTCATAAAGATAGCTGGGGATAAATATTTTAGCACTTGCAGGGATAAGTATTTTAACACTTTGAGATTTTCTTATGAAAGTAACCACATAAATGTACAGAAATATTATTTAGATAATAAGTTATTTATTCTTCCTGTTTGTCATGTAATAATGGCATTATGTAAAACCAGAGGCAGTAGTTACTTAACTCCTGAATGGGAGGTGATATTATGAAAGCACCCAATAAGTATACAGGCATAAAATCATAACAAACTGCTGAGTTGCAAATCAAACACTTCATGGCATCACTAAATCCTAATTAAAAATATTAACAAGCTTCATTGTTCATATTCATATTTAGATTTCATCTCTCCCAAGGTGTCAGGATGTGTGGATATCAACTCTGAGTTCAACCATTTTTAAAGATTTTAGAATATATTTGTATTTGAACTCAATTCTGTGATACAGTTTCTAAGTAATGCCTAAAATCACATCAAGGAGGAACACACCTGAATAATTTTAACTTGTAACCACCTTCCCTATCTTGTCTGCAGTGGCTATAATGCTTATAAAACTTAATAGTTTGCCTTATTAAACTCCAATGTATGGTCCCTGAAGCACTAATTAGGGATATGATTGGAGATCTAAGTAAAACATGGATGTCAGCACTGACTCAAGATAACACCTCAAGATCAATGGACGCATTCTGACAATTTCAATTTCTGAAAAAAGTGGCAGCCAGCAGTGCAATTTTTTTTTTCAAGCATGAATTTTATTCTGATCAAGATGCATAAGAGAGGTAGTCAGCTGTGATATGAGAGGTAGTTAGTTGATTTCACTCAGAATGCAAGATAGATGTAGACATCTATCCAGCCTTGCATGCATATGAACAGGTGAGCTTCATTTGTCACCTAAAACGTGTATGCTTTTACAGAACTTTGCCATTAACAAACCTCCCAAACATGAAATACATTGCCCCTGAGAGTATTACCACTTCCAAGAAACCAGTCTCTGTTATAGTAAAAAATTGGATAAAGATCCAATTTAGCTACATTTTGAAAAGATTTAAAATGGGCATTTTGGTTCAGCTCATCTGCATTAATTCCCAATACGCTGATTGTAGAGGAACACAGCTTTAGAACAGTTTCACAGAACCACAGAAAATTAGGGTTGGAAGGGACCTCAGGAGGTCATCTAGCTCAACTCCCTGCTCAAAGAAGGACCATTCCCAACTAGATCATTCCAGACAATGGAATACTCATTGTGACATTAACCAGATTTACCTATTTTTACCATTACTTTTTATTCCAGTGTAAAAATCTTGCTTATAACACAAAAAGTTAAGATTTTCAAATGACCTTAGGCTTTCTTCTGCAGATACTCCAAATCTTTACTCAAAACCTCCTACATTTAGTCAACAAACCTCAAGTCCTGCCTTCAAAACAAATTAGGGGCAAATCCAGGCTATTACTAGGGCTGTGCAAAGCTTCAGTCACCAATGTGATGTGATTCGGCACAGATTTGGTGGCCAAATCTCCAAATCTGAATCAAATCAGGAGACTCTTTAATCTCTCCTAATCAAATCAGAACCCTCTGAATCAATTCAGAGAGATTCAGTGATTTGGACATAGACACAGCTTTAAATGTTTTTTCTACATACCTCAAGGTACCAGGTGGCTTGTGAACGCTGAGATTTTGGGATGGATGGAACGTCCCATGGAAGCGCAGTGAGGTCCCCAGCATACTCGGGGGCTCCCCCCGCAGCCGATCGCCGAGGCAGGTGGTGCAAGAGGGGTCCCCCACGCACTTAGTGGTGGACCCAGAAGAGTCCACCACTGAGCATGCAGGGCCCCCCCCCATGCTCCTGTGGGATGTTCCATGTGCACCACCATCTCAGCAGTCACAAGCCATGCCTGGTACCTTAAGGTATGTAGAGAAAACATTTAAAGCTGTGTCTATGGCTGAATCGCTGATTCTCTGAATCAGCATTGAATATTCAGATTCAGATTTGGCCAAATCAAATCAGGGACAGTGATCCGAATCAATGGATCAAATCACCGTCCCCCCGAATTGGACCGATTCCGAATCAAATATGGCACACCCCTAGTTATTACCTCTAAATCTTGCCTACAACAACTTTAGGATAACCTTGTTAGGATCCAAGTCTGGGTGATAAAGGTGTTCTTTATTGCAAATGAAGTTTGCAATTGTTCAGAGGACTCTACAAGAAGGTTCATTTTGCTGAATTTGGGTTATTCAGGTGGGCTTGGCCAAGTAGATGGTGATCCTTCTAGATGTATTTTTTCCTAAATTGCTTTAGATGGCTTTTTTCATACAACAACTACTAATCGCTTATTAGCCTCTTTGTATCTACCTATCTATTCTCCCAGTACTATGCGACATTGCACATACTATAATATGAGGTGTGATACTAAGACTTATGTTAAAATTTCCTCACATGTGATGTCATACAACCTCATATATTTGGCTTCAGCCTTGAAGGTACTGACAACCTGCATTGAGACAAAAGGCTAATCTAATTGTAAACTAACTTGCTATGGGCAAAAACAGTAAATCGTACATATCATGTTTACATGATAATCTGGTGGACTGCTGTAACCTAGCACTGATGTGCTAATCCAATGAATTATTCTGTTTCTCACAATTTACTCTTGATGCAAGATCACTTTATTTAACTAGATGAAAATTCTACTTTTCACTGCTACTGTTTTGGCAGCAAGGCTTTCTCCCTTCCACTATGTTGGCTCTTTTTCTAAAATATACTTGACAGTCTGATTCAGCTTTTGATGTTACATATACACTGGAAACCTCTTATTAATTCAGCTTTTTGTTACTTGATCTATGTTATGTCCAGCAATCAGGGGCCAAATGTGCCAGACATGTGCTACTGAAGCATACAGAATATACTTGGCTGGTTAGTTTCTATTATTTATAATGCAATCGGTATAATTAAAAAGTGTAACTGGTTTGGATAATAACAGCTATATAAAGGCAAAGACTGGTTATGCCTCTTCAGTTTCATATAGGGGAACGTCCTAGAACTCATTTGCT